AAGTATTTCGATTACATGGGATTCCCGTATCTATTGTATCCGATAGGGGTAGCCAATTTATTTCCAGGTTCTGGAGGGCCTTTTGTTCAGAAATGGGTATTTCTCTCTCATTTTCTTCCGCTTATCATCCCCAGTCTAATGGGGCTGCTGAACGTGCCAACCAGTCTCTGGAGCAATACCTCCGTTGTTTTGTGTCTCACCATCAGGACAATTGGTCTGACCTGCTTCCTTGGGCTGAATTTGCTCGGAATAACGCCACTCATGATTCTTCCGGCAAGACCCCTTTTTACGTTGTCTATGGCCAGCATCCCGTTGTTCTTCCGGCTGCATTCTCCTCACAGGGCATGCCAGTTCTGGATGAGCATTTGGCTGGTTTGCGTAATACTTGGGAGCAGGTTCAGCGTTCTTTGGTGGACTCTGCTACTCGCCAGAAGGCTCAGGCTGACAAGCATCGCAGAGCAGCTCCGTCCTATGTTGTGGGGGACAGGGTTTTGCTTTCCACGCGGAATATTCGTCTCCGGGTGCCTTCTATGAAATTGGCTCCCCGCTTCATTGGACCTTATCGTATTATACATAAGGTTAATCCTGTTTCTTATGCCTTAGGCCTGCCTAAGAATCTACGTATTCCTAATGTTTTTCACACCTCATTGTTGAAACCTTTCGTACGCAACCGCTATACCCGGCATACTCCTCCTCCCCCTCCTATCTCGGTGGAGGGTCATGAGGAGTTTGAAGTGTCTGCTGTTCTTGACTCTCGTTTCCTTAGGGGTCGACTTCAGTACTTGGTACATTGGAAGGGTTATGGGCCTGAGGAGCACAGTTGGATTTCGGCTGATGCTGTCCATGCTCCCCGTCTTGTGCGCTCTTTCCATTCTCGTTTTCCTGCCAGGCCTGGTCCTACCCGCCCGGGGGGCGTGTCCTCAGGGGGGGGTACTGTAGCGTTACTTACCTTAACCGGGGGCCGGTCGCGGTCCTCTCTTCAAGCCGCGCGCGGTCCTGCGGCTGCACGAGCCGCGCGCGGCTCATCCAACTGCTTTGGATGGAAGGCGGGCAGTGACCGCGTGAGGCGGTCACGTGTCCCGCCTGAAACTAAGAGCGCGCCGCGAGTCTCGGGCGCGCTCTTAAAGAGACAGTGGGAGCCTAATTGCCAAAAGGCTCCCATTGGCTCCTGTCATACCACACTCCCTGTACAATTACCTATAGGGGGTGTGGAAGTGACAGGAGCCAATCACTTTCGTTTTAAAGCTATTTAAACTTACCTTTTTCCCTTAGCTCGTTGCCCTATCGTGGTTTCTGTTTCAGTTCCCTTTAGCGCTTGTGGTGTTCAGTTGTGTTTTCTCGTATTGACTTTGGCTTCGTATTCTGACTTCGTTTTCGCTTTATCCTTATCTGTACTGTTTGCCGGCTTGCTGTTTTCCGTGTACCAGACCCCGGCTTGTCCTAGTTTACGCTGTCTCTCTGTGCCCTTGACCTCGGTTTGTTCCTGGCTCTGTCTCCTCTCATATACGTCGAGTCCGGCCATTCTAAGGTCCGGTAGACGTATCTCTCCTCTGTATTTGCCTCTGTTTAGCTGGATCCTGCGTGTAGGGGTATATTCTCGTTACAACCCCTAGGTCCCTGGACCCCTGACTGTCCGGGCGCGTAACTCCCAGAGTAGGCCCTAGGTCAAGGGACCCAGGAATGTGAATTTGAGTTACTGAAGTCAAGGCCTCCCTATAGAGGGATACCTCCCTTCTTAGCTTGGAGTCCCGCGAACACATAGCGTTCTCTAATACACAGACAAGACATAAAGTCCCTTCATTCACGACAGGTGACTCCAGAGAGCAGATGTAGTGGAGGCCTGGTATTTCACAGGTTAACTCCACTAAGATCCCAGGGAGGCTCAGGAACAAGTGATGAAAAATCCCATAAAGTAATAATTCCAGCAAACAAGGTAATCCAAGAATATCCCCATACAGATCCCAATGACTGGACGACACACAGCATCAGGAGCAGAACTAACGTTTATTCCACACAACCTCCTTTTAAGCATTTCTCCCATGCAAGGGAGGGATTCACATTCATTAAGATAGTCCCCTATGGAATAGCAGTTACCTCCCACACATCTCCTCCCCATAGTATGAGCAATCTGTTATATACACTGTCAGTAAAACTCACAGCAATCTGTGATATACACTGTCAGTAAAACTCACAGCAATCTGTGATATACACTGTCAGTAAAACTAAATCTGTGATATACACGGTCAGTAGAACTCACAGAAATCTGAGATATACACTGTCAGTAAAGCTAAATCTGTGATCTACACTGTCAGTAAAACTCACAGAAAACTGTGATATATACACTGTGATATATACAATGTCATTGAAACTCACAGTAATCTTTGATATACACTGTCAGTAAAACTCACAGCAATCTGTGATATACACTGTCAGTAAAACTAAATCTGTGATATACACTGTCAGCAAACCTCACAGCAATCTGTGATATACACTGTCAGTAAAACTAAATCTGTGATCTACACTGTCAGTAAAACTCACAAAAATCTGTGATATATACAATGTCATTGAAACTCACAGTAATCTTTGATATAAACTCAGGGGGGTGGGGGGGAGGGTGAAATCAAAGGGAGCACAAACTGAATAGGTATCCCCAGTAAGCCTCATGCCCCCATGAAACCACCACAATATAAAGGAAATCTTAAAAAACTAAGCATAATTAATATAAATCATAAATAAATCATAATAAAACCCAAAGCCACCCACTAAGAGCAGGAGGCAGTGGTACTCTGACCTGTACTGACTGTGGAGCAGCAAAGAAAGAGGAAATGATGCATGGGGAGGGGAGTTTTATAGTACCTAACTTTTTTCTGATTGGTTGTTTTTCTGTGCTGCTGTGGAGTTCTAGTAAAGAGAGACTTACGCAAATACGAAGCCTCCTGTCATGTTATAAAATTGCATTAGCTGCAAAGTCTTAATCAGTGTGCAAAAACTATTATTTTTAGGATTCAGCCAATCAATATTAAAATCTCCAAAGACCAACCGTTCACTTTTTGGGTTTTAAGCTATGGTTTCACTAAGGAGATGGGCTATGTCAGATGTGGAATGCACTGGGGAGCTAGGTGGGCAGTAGATTCCTGCAACAATGATAGATTTACTGCACGGGATCTCAATTGTGCCAGACAGGAAATCAAAGGTGGCAGAAGGGCTAAAGTTTTGTAAGGGGGTAAAACGTTATGGAATTGTCAACATAAATAACAATGCCTTCTCCTCTCTTTGCTCTGCCATTTCTTAAACATGAATAAACCTGTATTTCAATGGCAGTGTCTGGTATTTTAGTCGTTAACCATGATTCTGAGAGTACAATGATTTTTGCTTTGTAATGGGAACACCAGGCTTGCAGTGCATCCAGTTTAGGGAGTAAGCTACAGATGTTGCAGTGCACAAAAGAGAGATATGGAGACATTAAGTTAAACATTTTGAAAGGTTAAAGTTCATGTTATATGGTTTTGAAAGTATGGTTGTAAGCCCCTTAAGCTTTGAATAAACACCAAGGCCTATTGAAAAGTAAATAAAAATTGTCTGTGTTTGTTGTGTGGTCTCATTTTATTTATACAAATGTATTTATACATATATATACACTACTCCAGACAGCAAGGATTATCTGAGAGCACTGGAAGCATTGATATCCAGGTTGGAAGTAATTAATATTGGTAATGTGTAGTAAAAGATTCAGCATTATGAATGCAGCTGGAGATCGTTGGATATTGGTGCCAGGGGGAACCTTAGTTTTGGGTTATGTGGTTATGGTGCCTATACTGCCCACTTACGAACATACAAATAGTTTTGTCTGTTAAAATAACGTGATTCCACAAAGTTTGACAATTCTCCTCTTAATGCATGCATTTCTCTCAAAAGTCTGAGTCTCTTTGAAAAGTCTGAGTCTCTTAGAACACTGGCCAACTCCTTACATCTTCATTTCAATCACAGCCAGGGCAACTCATGCGAACCAATGAGTAGCTTAAACTGTTAATGTTTCATAATGGGTCTCTGTCCTATTTTGCAAGGCAGAGCCACATTATTATTTTTTTTAAATACTCAAGATGTTTTTAGATAACATAATCAAGTGTAAAATAGTACCACAATACAGTCTGTATGTTCAATATAAATTTCCTCATGTGCAGATATTATTTTACCAATAAATGCATGCCTTATCCATTTAAACCAATCATAAAGTAATGGAGAACAAAGTAAGACCCCGAAGAATATTGGTCATATAATCAATCCACTTAACGATATCACCTGATGAGCTGAGGCTGGAATGTATTAAATGGTGACAGAGTATTTTCTGTATATAGAAGTTTTTAAGTTGTACATGGTTGTCTTGTGTGGAGGTATGTGGGTCCCTTGAGGTTTGTAAAAGTTCTTTGTGTGATGCTCTTTGTCGATCTTCAGAGTCATAGGGCAGAGGCTCTTTTTAATTGAGAACTTTAGCCTTTCATTTACACATTACTACAGGTGTCTGTCACCATTTACATAAACAGTATGTTTGTTAAAAACATGACTCTGTTTGTTCCGTTTGTTGTGAATTGCGAAAAGGCACGGGATGTTTAAAGGGGAGAGGCAGCATCCAGAGCAGGATACGAGGTTACTACTCTCCCACAACCCCAAAGATAACTTCAGTGTCAGGAAAGGGGGGAATGGTTTTAGCTTAGACTTATCAAGGCAGGAACGGAGTCTCCAAAATAAATTAAAACAAACAGCAAGTTTTTATCCACAAAGTTAATATCAGCACCTTCCTGCCAGTCAAAGCATCCTGGCTCCGACAAACAGGAGGCCAAACAAGCTATATCGGGAAATTTTGCGAAAAAGGGTGAATCTTTGCTACTTGACTAAGCACTATAATATTAGCATGTGATCCAGTGAGAGACATCTTGGTGCCATTAGATGGTTACTGTTGGCATTGGCTCTCAGTTCATTTTTTTTTAATTCTTTATTTTTCGCTCTGCCATTCAAGCGTGGCTACAATAGTGCAAACAGATGTGAATACATTACCGCACAAGTGTTATTGATTTACAGTATAAAATACAGGGTGACAAAATCAGTACAAGCATCTGTCACAAACTGTGCACCTTTGGTGCGTCTCTGCCAGAGATTTCATTTACGTTGGTAATCAGATAAAGAGAAAGAAAGAGAAAAGTATCCAAAAAAAGGAAAAGAGAAACAATAACTATGTACAACTGTAGACTTATTGAGGAGTGTGCTGTGCCCTAAACTCTCAAGATGGCTGCGAATGAGTGTATGGCTGCGAATGAGTGTATTGCGTTGCCTTGGCCTAGGCGTACGTGTGTGGTATCCCGAGCTTGCTCAGGTAGTTCAGGCATTGTGCCCTCTCCGTCTGCTCTGTCCCTGCCCCCCCCCGTGATCTGTCAATCCGTCATGCACGTAATCCGGCAGGGTCAGACAGTGTTAAAGTTTTCCTCTCCTCGTGTTTGCTAGCATTGTCTGAGGTACTTACAAAAGATAAGGACAGATTAATAGAGAAAAGGTAGAGATAGGTAAGTATACTGTTCAGTATGTTGAAGTACAGAGAGTTGGTGATCTCCTGTGAATCAAGAGAACCCGTGCCGCCCGCCCTAGTGGGCTACGGCCCTCGTTCCGGCTTTAGCCAGTCCCCCGTCCTGCTGTGGAGCCGCTTCCACCCGTCCGGGTTATGGTGTGCCAGTGACCGCCGGGTGGGCCCCCGCCGTCACTGCTGAGTTGTGCCGCACAGATGCCGCCCCGCGCCCTGAGTCTACGTGTTGTATTGCTCCCATGGACCCCATACCTTGTGAAATGTGGTCAGCGTGTTCCGCACTTGGGCCGTGAGTTTATCCATCAAATAATTATCGCGGAGTTTCGTCCTAACCAATGATAGCTGCGGGAGGTCCGGGCAGGACCAGTGTTGTGCCATGGCCCTGCGGGCCGCTAAGTAGATCATGTTAAGGAGTTTTTGTTCGTGCCGTGGGAGGCCCTCCGTGGGTCTGGATAAAAGGCATGCCCACGGATCCAGTGTAATTCGTTTTTGCAAGATTTGGGAGCTGAAGTTCACTATGCCAATAGGTTGCTACCTTTGGACATTCCCACCACATGTGGATGTAGGTGCCCCTCCCCCCACACAGGTGCCAGCAATCATCTGTAGGACACAATTTCATGTGTTTTTGCGTCACCGGTGTCATGTACCAACGGAATAGCGTTTTGTATGATTGTTCTTGGAGTGTTACGCAGATAGTGGTTTTGGTGCATGCCTCCCATATGTCCTGCCACTCCGTTCCCTCTAGGGCCTCCCCCAGGTCGGCTTCCCACTGGTCAGCGTATCGGAGTCCGTCTATCGTGTCCGGGGCCGTGTTGAGGTGCTTGTACAGTAATGTAATTAGCTTGGATTGTGTAGTCTCCGTAAAGCATAGTTTCTCAAAAAAGGTTAGAGGTGTCAGGGCTGCCTTTTTTACGTCAGGGCTCTGGGCAAAGTCTCGAATTTGCAGGTACCTGAAATAGTCTCTAGTGTGCAGTGGAGCTTTGGTGTTCAGGTGTGCGTATGTGACTATTTCCTGGTTTATGAATAGGTGGACGTATCTCTGGAGCCCAGTGGCTTCTATCCCCTTGTAGTCCCGGGCCCTCATTCCCGGTGGGAATGCCCTATTCCGGAAGACTGGTGTCATGGGAGACAGAGGGGGGCTCAAGGAGTGTTTTAGTTTAGTTTGGTCCCATATCCGTATGGAGTTCAATATAGCCGGATTCGTGGTTCTCAGTATGGCCCTCTGTGTTTTTGGTGCCCATATAAAAAATTGTGGGAGGTCCTGTCTCGTCATTAGTGACTCCATGTCGACCCAGCGTCGTGTATCGGGGGGTGTGTGCCATTGTATGATCTGGGCTAACTGTGCCGCTAGGTAGTAATTATATACATTGGGTAGTCCCAGTCCCCCCCTGGCTTTCGGTCTGTACATGAGTGTGCGAGCCATTCTCGGGCGCTTGTTTTGCCAGATGAAGGAGTCTATTGCCCGCTGTATACCCGTCAGGTCTCCCCGGTTCACCTGTACCGGGAGTGCCTGAAAAAGGAACAAGAGCCTCGGCAACACATTCATTTTTATTGTGTTGACCCGTCCCAGCCATGATATGGGCCTGTGTGTCCACTGCTCCATTTCCGTGGTAAGGGTCCGAAGCAGTGGTGTGTAGTTGCGGGCATAGAGCGACGATGTGGTTGCCGTTAGGCGGACCCCCAGGTACAGGAGTTCCTCTGTGGCTATCTTTAAGTGGTATTGTTTGCGTATAGGTTCTACATCTTGGTGCGGTATATGGAAGGGCATTGCCACCGACTTGGAGTAATTAATTTTGTAGCCTGCGATGTTCCCGAATTTTGCTAAGAGTTGTGTCAGGTGGTGTAGGGAGTCCATCGGATCCCGGAGTGTTAGCATGACATCATCAGCATATGCCGAGACTGTGAAGGGTGTGCCGCTCACCTCTATGCCCTGAATATGTGGATGTTGCCTGATAGCTTGTAATAGTGGCTCTAGGGTGAGGGCGAAGAGCAAAGGGGACAACGGGCATCCCTGCCTAGTGCCGTTGCTAAGGGTGAAAGGCTGTTTAGGCGCCCCTGTGATAAGTGTTTGTGCCCTCAGATCTGTATAGAGTGCATGTATTGCCGTCACAAAGGGCTCTGGGAACCCCTGGAACCGGAGCAGCTCGAAGAGGTAAGGCCATAGCACCCTGTCAAACGCCTTCTCCGCGTCTAAAGAGAGCGCTAGAGAAGGCGTCTTGGACTCCGCCATGTACCACATGGCATCCACCCCCCGTCTGGTGTTCTCGTACAGTTGGCGTCCGGGCATAAAGCCCACCTGATCCGGGTGGATCAAGCGTGGGAGTAGGGAGGAGAGCCTGGATGCTAGTATTTTAGCAAAGACTTTGAGGTCTGTATTGATAAGTGAGATTGGCCTATAGCTGGAGGCTAGTGTGTCATCCTTATCCGGTTTTGGCAGTAGTACTACATTCGCCGTTGCCATGTCTCCTTCAGGTACCCCGTCTTGCATAAAGTGGTTACTAAGGGCCGTGAGGTGAGGGGCTAGTACCTCTTTGAATTGTTTGTAGTAGTTAACATCGTATCCGTCTGGGCCTGGGGCCTTGTTTCCCTTGAGGGATGATATGGCTGATTCTACCTCTGTTTGAGTAATCGGTTCACCTAGGGAACCTGCGTCTGCCTCGTTCACTTTGGGCAGTGTGAGGTCTGCAAGGAATCGTTGTATGTCGGCCCTATAGGCGGTGTTATTGGCGTGAAGGTGGGGGGAGTGATTGTAGAGGTTGGAGAAATAGGAGGTGAAAACTTCGTTGATGGCCTCAGGGGTCTCAACTAGCATGCCGGCGACCGTGTGTATTTTCGTTATGGCCTTGCCCTGTGGTCTCGGGCGGAGCACCCTGGCTAGCAGTGTGTCTGTTTTATTTGCTTTCTCGTAGTAGAGTCGCTTTGACCATTGTATGGAGCGTGTCACCGCTTCCAGAGAGATGTCCCTAATAGAGTGTCTGAGGGTGTTCAGTTCTCTAAGTTTGGAGTCTGTCGGGTTAGTTTTGTGTTGCTGCTCTGCCTTCCTTAAGGCTGACTGTAATTCGAGGAGCTTTTTAATTTTGGCTCGCTTTTTATGCGTTGCAAGTTTTATAAAGAGCCCGCGTATAACCGCTTTGTGTGCCGCCCAGACCACGGTGGGGTTGGTGTCAGGTGTTGCGTTTAGTGTAAAGTATTCTGTGATAGCCTGTCGGGTGGTCTCAAGGATTTCGGCGTCTCTAAGAAGACTAGTATTAAGCTTCCACGACCAGTTGGACTGGTAGCGCAGGTTGCCTAAGGTCAGCGTTACGTCAGTGTGGTCTGACCATGTGATGTTACTGATATCTGTGTGTATGGCCTTATCCATTCCTACCCCGTTCAGAAAAATGTTATCTATCCTGGAGTAGGTGTTGTGCGGCACAGAATAAAACGTGTAGTCGGATGTGGTCGGGTGCTGTAGCCGCCATACATCCAATAGACCCGTGTGCATCAAAAATGTGTGTAATAGTTTGTCTTGACCCCCTCTACCTTGAGACCTCACTGTGCCAGGTTTTGAGCTTCTATCCGCTGCTGGGCTTGGTACAGCGTTAAAGTCGCCCCTCACCAGCAGAACCCCCCCCTGGCCCCGGTCACCAGCACCTCCAGGCCCTCCCAGAACTGTCTATCCGGCTCGTTGGGTGCGTAAACATTGATAATATGTATTTTTGTGGTGTAGAGGGTGCCTCCTATATATACAAATCTCCCCTCCGGGTCAGTCTGGGTAGTAGTTATTTGTAGCGGGCAGTTTTTATGGACAAGGATCGCTACCCCCGTTCGCTTACGGAGGGAGCGAGCCTCATGCACTGTCGAGTAGGTCCTGTCAGTCAGTTTAGTGGGCGCCGACCTAGGGAGGTGTGTCTCCTGTATCAGTGCGATATCTATTTTTTTGGCTTTCAAATCTCTCGCTAGTAGTCTCCGTTTGGTTGGGGAGTTGAGGCCCTTGACATTAAACGAAAGTACCTTAAGAGCCATGTGGGGAAGTCGGCTGTGCTGCTGGTAGTACAGGCACTCTAAGTGTCCGGGGTCTGAAGTGTGCGCTGTGTGAGGGGCCCGGCCCGAGGGCCACACCCGTCGACGCTGGCGGCATCCGCACGGCACAATGGAGTTGGAGAAAAGATACATAAGTAACAAAGAAACACTTCCAGGTATATACAAATAAACATGAAAAATAAACACAAAGTGATAATCTGGTCTTAACCTGTGCCAGATTGAATTGGGGGTGGTCGCCCCTCCCGAGTGATGTAAGAAAAAGCACCTCTCGGGGTTGGTGATCTCCCAGCGCCCTTCCACTGTGATGCTGTAAGCAGCCAGCGGCCATAGAACCTCTACCTACTGGTCTGTCCCCCTCAAAGCGAGGCGTGCTTGCCGTTGTCCCCCCTTAGGTTGCTTGGCATGTGCGCCTTTCACTCTTGCTGTGTGCTATTTTTGTCCTCCCAGCTTTCGTTCATATGGGAATCCTCCTGTGTGTACCGAATGTGTGCCAATCCTCCCCTACCCGCCCCCTCCATCCCCCCTCTACCTGGCCAGTGCGCTGAGTCATGTGCGTGCCCTTCGAGGGGCACATTGTCTGTGGTGTGCTTTTTTTTGTTTCCCTATAGAGATGCATTGGGTCATTTCATCTCTATGAGGAGATGCTGACTGGCGCAGAGCAGCATTTTGCCATGCAGAGTGGCATTTTAGCCTCTCAAAGCTTTCCTTCTGGAAAGCATTAGATTGGCTGAGATCAATAAATTTGATGATCTCAGGCAAGGGAGCGGGGCATGGATGGGACCAGCTGCGACTGGACTCGCATGGTGCTGGAGTAATTAGCCAGAAGTAAATTGGGGCCGGGGGTCTAAACAACTATTTAGAAATAAACATTTGTAATACTACACAATAGTGGTCTGTTAACCACTACAGCACACTATAAAATGTAGTGCTTATGGTGCTTGGAGTGGTTCTATAAACCTTGCAAACTCCCATATAAGCTTTAGAAATACATGTCATGTTAATCTAAGAAGAGGTGTGTCTTTTTTTTTTCTTTCTTCTTTGCTTATATCAAAGATGGACATTTTTTTATTTTATTCTTTTTTAAGTTTAGTAGTGAAAAGTCTATATTTTTAACTACATCC